CTAGCGTGGTGCGTACGTATACACGATTCAATTTTATTATTCATCAGTATCTTTACCAGCCTACCCTCAAATTGAAGGATTAGGCAGGATCAGAGTAAATTAATCTATGAGACCGCGCCAAAAATTGAAATATTTGTTATTGTAGAATATTTAGCTGGCAAGGTAGTCACGTGCTAACTGTTACTGCAATATTTCCTCTAGTTTTAATAATATAATTAATAAATCTGGCTCAATGTTTTCTTGGTGCCAAGCTACAAAATGGATTGTCTGCACTCTATCCACCGCAGGGAATTGAACCCCGAATTTTAGCTTTGGAAGTCAGTAAACTTACCGCTGACCCACCTTGAAACAATCTGACTTGTAGTCTTAGTTTTTCTTGCATAATTGAAACAACTATTGAAGAAGAGGAATAGATTGAAAACTTACCTACAGAAGCAAAATAGATAGCGCCGGGCCTGATTGGGTATTTTCCGGTTTCTTAAATGCATGAGCAAGAGTTGCTGATGGTATTAAGAATATTGCTGATTTGCATGTGTTTGCAGTTTACAGAAGCCAACTTAAATTTTACATACGGGGTAAGCTGGTCTTTAACATAACACAGACAAGATGCTGCATAAATTCTAAAATTTCAGGAGTTCTCTTGAGATAATGCCTTGTATACATCTGCTTCTTTGAAGAACAACCATTACGCTTGAGCATGTACGAATATTCATATTTACAAAATAAACGCTTGTTATGTATAGTTACTTTATGTATACCTACTATCTTGTATGACCTACAGCCTAATTGAAAAGTATTGAGATTGTACCAAAAGACTTTCCTATACATCTAAGAATCCGTAGAATTTTACGGAGGTCATGGTACTTTCTAATAATAAAAGAACTATAAATTTCTTTTTCTGCCTTAATACTTTGATTGAAGATCAAACTTAATCATAATCTCTTTGGAAATTTAATTACAATTTGAAATTCGTATGCTTCTTCCCGAAATCAGTAATACACAATTTTTTCTATACATCTGTATCTCTATACCAATCATAACACACACACACACACACACACTATTTAAACAAAAGCATATTTTTACTATGCAAAGAATAAAAACTAGTTTTAAATTAGTGATAATCACGTTAGCTGTAGTTTTTGTTTGCTCTTTTTCATTCCTCTCAATTTATCCATTTTGGAATCAAAATCAGAAGCGTGTAAAAATAGCATTCGGATTTTTGTTTCTCTCGAAGTAACTGCCATTTCTAAATATTTTAAGGTGGCGTTATATCAACCTAATATCTATTGGATGACAGTCTACTGGAAACATTACGCTTGCTCCTTATTTTACACAAGTGATTACGATTTAAGATAAGTTTAGTTTCGAATTTCTCAAATATTAAGCAGTAACTGCTGCAAAACTGTTACGTCCATTTTTGACACATAGCAAAATTAGATCAGTGCTGTTTTCAAGTGTAAGCTTTGACATTTTTTACACGTCCTCAATTGATGCTAGTACTGAGGAAATGTAAACATTTAGCCTCTTTAAATCTGAATCGCTCCCTGGTGTCTCTGTCATAGACTATTACTATTTGCATATCACCTGCAGTTTTCGCGATGCTCCAACAGTGTTGCACGAATAATGAATCACCCTGTATAACCAGAATTTCAGATAAGACGTTGAACGTTGTAACTTTTCCGTCATGATGAGTTCTTCGTACAACAGGTAAGATATAGTTGAAGTGCTATTATACGGTCTTTTTATACTCGTCATCAATTTTAGACCAGTAAAAAATATGATTTCATTTATAGCCAGTTCTTATTGTTACTGAGTATGTTCTCCAACCTAAGACTTTAGACAATTTTTCAAAATTTCGTCTTCTGTAATATTCGGATAAATCCGCAAGATCAAACCTGCGTGATGCAACCGTGTTCTATTGTCGATAGACTTCTTGAGAAATATTTTTTGTGAGCGATAAAACGCCGTATTGTGTTGGATATATATTATCGTAACTTTCATCTTTTCCAGTTCTATTCAAGCACAGCAAACCATTTACTAAGCAGAAGGGCGGGCTGCAGAGGATTACTGATCATCATGTCATTGTATTATGATGTATTTAATGTGTTTGCTTCGTTCAGCACCAACTTTGATACTTGTTGACATGTCGAACGTTAGATGTACAATCTTTACAAACTGCAACACATTGTTGTGTGTGATTAAACTCGTTCCAAGTATTTTAATAATGCAAAATAACATTTTCTGATTCTTTCTTTACAGAACTGACTGTCAACTGAAACAACTCCAAAAGATGTCAAGATATCGATTGCCGGCTTATTAATATCGGTAGGTCTTCCAGCTATTTTTCTTTTTGCCATTTTCATATCAAGTGTTTTTCCATCTGTTTCTGGCAACGTTTTAATCAACATTAGCCCAAAATTATGCAGACAATGATGTGAGGTACATATATATATTTGACTTTAGATTCTAAACCTATAACATCTCCAATTGTTTCAGGAAACTGACGCAGATCTTGCACGCAGGCATATTTCCTAATAAGATGTACACGAAAGGATAAATATACATACTCATTTGTAAACATGTTGAATTATTTCTGATTATATAACGTAATGGATATTTCAGTACTTTTGTATCTTATGATGTTGACAAAAAAGAAAGATGGAATTTTGAACATTCACTCGTTCATTTAATATCTGAAGTATGTAGTTTTCTACTAGAGATCGTAGCCTACAGTATCTTACAATATTTTCTGAATAATTATCGTATACAGTAGGTTTTTTATATACATATCGCCTGTAACTTTTACGTTAAACCCAATAAAATCATAATATGGATTATCTGAAAATCTGAATGCGAGACTTAATTAATGAACTAAAGAGATTCGTTAAAATCTTAGGATTTAATATAATCCATAGGCTTTAAATTTTCGTTTAAATTTCCTACGCTTGTGAATGTAATGTATCCAAGTTCAAATATAGCAACATTATACAACTTTCAATCACCAATACCTAAATAATTAATTTTAATAAAAACTCTTGTGGCAGAAGAAACTTCCGGTTTGCTTTCACGTGTGCGTTTACTTAAATATATCCAGTTTAAACATTTTTTATTCGTTTTTATATGTCATTGTAATATAAGTAAAACGTCAACGTAATTTACACACAATTATAATGATCACCATAATTCTGTCCACCGGTAATCTTTCTAAAAGCAAGTCCTAATAAGTCAGTCATTTGTTAGTCTGCCTCGAGTTCAGTGCTGTTTCGATTTTATTAATAGCGCTGTTAATTACTGAACTTAATTGCTTCAAACCACTTGGGTTACTTTTCAGAAAACGCCAACGTGTGATAGGAACACCTAGAAGCAGCCCAGCTCTATAACGTGAATAATAATTTTATCGCTTTGAACATGCTTCTTTACTATCATTCCTATAGAGGTCGTGCACTGATATAAAAAAAATCACGTGGTCTGTAGTTTACTTCGCCATATTGAATGTCAAACATGACTGCCTAATTTTGTTACAAAGTGGGATTAGGATGCAAAAAAGCTATGTTATAACATAGTTGTAACATAGTTGTTAATGATGGTGGATGTATACTAAATGGAAAAAAATGTGTGGGGGGGGGATGGCCGTGACCCTTCTGCCCTATGTGTTAAGCGCCTATGACGTCAAGTGATTACATTCGTAGAATGCGACAATGTAAATAATTTTAGCAATGTGCATAAAAAACGAATAACCTTTGGTTTTTATATTATTTTTGTTAAACCTGGTTACCAAACCAAAAACATACGAATCTTGTGTTGATGTTTTGTTGTTGATTGTTAGACGGGAATAGTTTAAGCACAATATGGCAGCGTTGAATGGAGCAGTTTTGTGACGTCATGTGCAAGACCTCTATACGTACTATCGAAAGATTAATATTTCCATCGTGTTATTTGTGCAGTATACATATTTTTAAGGGACACTTCACATCAACACTTGAATTAATTCATGAACACCAACATCTATCATAGGTAATGTGGAGGACAAAATAACTTGTTTTTGTACCAGTAGTTAACGTGCCATACTATGGATCCGTGGTTCGCGCCCCGTTACTGCCAAAAACATCGCGCTCCACACTATTGGGCTGTGACGGTCAAATCCTACTATTCAATTAGAGTAGCTCAAGAGTTTGGCGGTGGGTGGGGTTGAATAGCTGCTTCCTCTCTTGTCGATCATTTCAAAATTAGGAACGACTAGCACATATAACCCTCGAGTAGCTTTACGCGAAATTCAACAACTAACAATATAGTTTTTCGTAGGTAACTAACTTAACAAGTTACGAACTGTAACAGTATTATAAGCATTTTCAGTGTTTAGTACTCCAAGTTTGTAGTTTGTGTTCTCTTACTAGTCATTGTACATTTTTTGTTCAATGCTTTATCAAAAGGATCATTTTCGCGAGGAACAATTTAGCCTTCAAAAAGACTCTAAGTAAGTTTACCTAGAGGCTGTTTTGTTTTTTAGCACAATGACTTCAGTTCTACTTACAGTTAAAGAGTATTCTCAATTTTATTGATAAGAATCTATAAAAAGTCTTCTTTTCTAAGAATTAGATAAAGCTAAAGTGGAGCTCCTTTCATTGTACGCTCTCTAAATTCCCTTGCGCGGACTGAGTTATTTTACGCATTCTAAAAATGTGGAACCAACGAGACTTTGCTTATCTTCGTCATCCATTTTCATCCCTATTTACTTTAAAAGTTCTTGTACTTTTACGGCTTTTACATCCCTTTCATCCTCTTGGGATTCCCCACTACTCTCTGCTGTTGAAAAACCGTGAAGAAAGACAAAAGAGTTGTGTATGATGTAACAGGATATAATGATACAGATCGGACAAACAGTAATTTGCGACAGGGCTAAATAAAAGGTTCTCTGATAGGCTGTGATTTCGGTACAGGAGGTAAAGAAGATAAATCGTGGAAAAAGTTTGGTCCTCCATTGTTTTCGATCCCTTGTGTATAGGTCTTGTGTTATTCTATGTATCAAGTGCACACCCATTCCTCGTCACTTGCCCCGTTCATGACAGGTGAGTGATGAATAAGGCCACGCCTGATTTTTTTTTTGTTAGTCCCACGTTGATTGGATTATCGAGAGAACCTTAGACGGGAATACTAAGCTACTTAGCAGTTTGCGTTTTCTTTTCTTTTTCATATACAAATGTCAAGCCGATTTGCGTGTGGATGTTGGACTTACAGAATGACGTTTGGTCTCACATATCCTCTCGATTTTGAAAGTTCCTGAAGCGCATAGTAAAAAAAACGTACTTAACTTTTTTTTAAAAAAAGTTCTTTGTAAAGTTTTGGTTCTTTTTATTATCGAAAACCTTTAAATTGTTTCCCATATTTAGCATTAGACTGCATACCGCAACCAAACGAAATGTTAACGTTAATTCCCACAACTTGAAGCTTTATCCTCAAGCATGAATTGTTAATGAAATACTACTGCAATTCAAGAAGAGCAACGACGTGTTCAAAGTTTATGTAGAACTAAAACTTAAGTGAAAGTTTTCATCTTAAACAATTTTTTGTTTTTAAGTTAGTAACATGCCCGATCCGCATAAAAACGTTTTTGGCGTACTTGTTATATACTTTTAAAAAAAGCAGGGGCGAATGAACATTTCTTAAAGAAAAGAAAAAGGAATGTGTATATGTATGTGTGTGTGTGTGTGTGATTCGTAATCAGTGTGGCGTAGCATTATACTATAATGTTACAACGTCATCCGTAGCAAGTTTTGAAAATAAAACAAAGTTCAAAAGCTTAGTCCAGTTCAAAAACTTTAAGCTGAAAAATATTCTCCGTATTGTTTATAATAAAGTGTCTTGAAATATATGTTTAACATTAGACCAGGTGTGGCTTAATGGTTAGCGTGCTCGGAGTGCGAATCCGAGGATTTTATGGCTCGCGTTCTTTAAAAATGTACTCCACAATTTGGGGTTATGGGTCACTATGAGTGACGGTCAGATAATTTTTTTTTTACTAGTATGGGATATTATAGGGTGATTTTTTTTACTAGTATGGGATGTTATATAATGATTTTTTACTAGTATGAGGTGTTATAGTGATTTTTTTACTAGTATGGGATGTTATAGGATGATTTTTTTTACTAGTATGGGATGTTATATAATGATTTTTTACTAGTATGGGATGTTATAGGATGATTTTTTTTACTAGTATGGGATGTTATATAATGATTTTTTACTAGTATGGGA